ATATGTGTGTGTGTGTGTGTGTGTGTGTGTGTGTGTGTGTGTGTGTGCGCACCTCATGTATGCAGTACCCATGGAGGCCAGAAGAGGGCAACAGATTCACAGAACCATAGTTAACAGGTGTTTGTGAGCCTCCTTGTGGGTCCTGGGAACTTAACCCAGGTCTCCCGCAAGAGCAGTATGTACTTTGAAATGCTGAGAACACTGGTCCTGAGTTCAATTCCCAGCAACCACATGGTGGATCACAGCCATCTATAATGAGATCTGGTGCCCTCTTCTGGCCTGCAGGCATACATGCAGGCAGAAGACTGTATACATAATAAATAAATACATAATTTAAGGAAGAACACCTATTATCATCCCTGATCCTGAATTTGGATAGCAGAGCAGAACTAGGAAGCGTAGGGGGCTAAAAAGAAATGGAGGGAGCTGGAGAGATGGCTCAGCGGTTAAGAGCATTGCCTGCTCTTCCAAAGCTCCTGAGTTCAATTCCCAGCAACCACATGGTGGCTCACAACCATCTTTAATGGGGTCTGGTGCCCTCTTCTGGCCTGCAGGCATACACACTGACAGAATATTGTATACATAATAAATAAATATTTAAAAAAAAAAAGAAATGGAGGTCTGAATAACTGAAGCGATTTGCCCAAAATGTCAGAGCCAGGTAGGCCAGTGTGTTCCGCATCTCCCTGTCACTCATTCAGTCCCCTACATGTGTGAGAAAAACACCTGTCACTCAAGAACACTTCCAAAGAAGAAGCCATATCCCTCCCCTCCTTGCCTCTCCATACAGGAACATTCCCAGATTGCAGTCCAGAGTCAGATCTCTCTGCATTAAAACACTGTCCACGTCCAGACTGAAAATGAATTTCCTGTCTTATCATTTCAAAGAGCTAGCTGCCTTAATCCTCGGCTGCCTCAGCAAACTCCTCGCTGCTCCCTGCTTGCAGCCTTGGAGCCAGCTGAAGGAGAGATAAAGACACTAGACCACAGCTTGTTCCGTCCACAGAGGTGTCCTTGTGTAGCTTGTGAGTAAAACTGTAATCGCGTCGTCCCCTCCCCCGACCCCAGCTCGAATCAGTGTCTTCCAGAGGCAGAGAGCCTGCAACCTGAGTGGCGTCCTCCGCGTCCTCGCAGGCGGCCCTGTCTGTAGTTTGTTCTGTAGATGCGCCAGCGTAGATTCGGCCCTGAGGTCCCCAAGCTTTGCCTGTATCATGTATCAAGACGGTAAGAGCAGATCTCTCTGTGCCTTCCTTTCTACTCTGGCGATAAAGGCTTTCTCCTCACACGGGGTTTACGGCGAACAAACACAGGGACAATCTAGAGGCTCCTTGCTTACAGGCTGCTGCGGGCAGTCCTAGACACCCTCACCCTAGTGTCTGGAATGTGACTGTATTTGCAGATGGGAGATTGTAAAGGGGGTAACTGTGTTAAAATGAGGACATTATTGTCGGCCCAATCCCAAAGAATATGTGAAGACACATAGAGAGGGCAGCCGGCCACAGGTCAGTCAGGGAGGACCTTGGGTTTCAAGTCCTTAGATAGGTGAGAAACTGATTCCGTTGTGCAACATCCACTCAGTGAAGTTCACTGGGGCCTGGCAGAGTACGTGGTTGGGTGACCTGGGGAAAGTTACCCAACCCTTCCAGGCAGGACGAGTGACATGGCTTGCAGGCTCCAGTGTGACGCGTCTTGTTAAAAAGCTATTAGGAGTTTCAAGACAAGCAGGAGCGGTGGCTTATAATCATAATTCCAGAGTTGCAGAACTCTAAGCCCAAGAATTGCTTAGAGTTTGAGGCCAATTTAGGCTACATCGTACGTTCCAGGTCAGCACACAAATGTTAAGACAGCACTGCAGAATATCACCCCATGTGGGAAGCCCTCTAAGCTGCTGGGTGGTGGCGTTCCCAGCTGGCTGCACACTTCACCTGCCCACAAAGCTGGTTCTGCTCCGAGGCCTCAGTTGCATCATCCCGAAAGTGGTGGTAATGATGCCACTTACTTTCAGGGTTGATTAAATGAGATTGTAGATAAGCCGTCAGAGAACATGAAAAGATGACCAAACAGGCTATTCAGTTTCCCATGAATTGTCTCCCCTGGGTCGAGTCCCAGGATCCCACGGAAGAATGGACAGGGAGCCCTTGGTTAGCAGGATGTGGGAGGGTGGGTGAGATGGGGTCCGAGGGTAGGGAAAGGTGGGGCCAAGTGATTCTGCTGCAGCAAACAGAGCCAATGCTTCCTGGGGTGCTCCCTTCTTGTCAGGGGGTCTCTGCTGCAGGGGAAGCAGCGGTTTCTCCTCCTCCTCTCTGGCTTTTGCCCACCACACAGGAAGTATGCTCCACTTAAAGTGGGCTTTGGATCCCGGCGCTGTCTGACAAAGGTGTTATTATTTCCACACATATGACTCCTTTATTCTATAAATAAATAAAGCTTTAGAAGAGAACCAAGCACAGCCCTGGGGCTTAAAATAGGGCAGGACAAATAAAGCCGAGCTCGGAAAACGACTACGCCTAAGGACGTGAACGGAGTGGGGGTGGGGGGCTCTGAGTGGCGTTTTGGACAAGGAAAATTAATATTTATTGTTCTCTAAAAATGTTTAGAAGCCAGTGGGTTGGATATTAGAATGAGATCGCCAACACAGATTCTTTCTAGAGGGGGACATGGAAATCATTTTTGGTGTAAGACATAAAGGCTTAACTAAACCTTCCCCGGCATTTTGGCCGATTTCATGGAGGTTCTTTGCAACCTACTAGCAATTCAGACTCTCTCAGGATGGGCTAAGCAACCCTCAAGTCCTTTCCCACCTCACAGGAGGAAGGACTTACGTTCTTTGATTGACAGGGAAGTGCAGAGCATTGCAAATAGCTTTGTAAGAAAGCAGCATTTTCTCGGTAGCCCCTCTCCTAAATGTACTTCGTAAAAGCAAAGCAAGGTTGTTGGAGAGAGTTTTATTGCAGTGAAATAAAATGGTAGTAGTAAGATATGCCGGGGATTTGTTCTCACTCTAATTAGAACACGCTCATCTCAACGCCGTCGAGCCCCTTGGTGACCCGGCTGCTGATGTGGGAGGTCGTGGGAAAAGATAAAATGACATCTAGGGGCTGTAATCACAGGTCCATCGGTGGAGCGGGGCCATGTGATTAATATAATGACAGTTAATTAATATGCAGAGTAATTACTTGTTGTGGTTCACACTCTGAACTCCTATAGTGTCTGACAAAACAGACCCCGAAACAGAGTAAGACGGACCCAAAACAGTGTCACCAGGACACAAGATTAGAAACCAAAGGCCATGGTCACCAGTATCTTAAGAATTTTCCCATCGCTTCAGAATAGAAATACGGGGCTCTGTCCAGTCTGTGTCTCTTGGGAAACGTGCAACACTCCCACTTCTATGCCTCGTTAGAGACGTGGGTCAGAGACGCTCTTTCAAGGACTTCAGATCATCCCAGCTGATAGAGCCCAGGGAGTGAGACAACCGGCAACCGGAGGGGTGAGAGAACCGTAGGAAGGTCCTGGGCCTCCGAGGCTCACAGGAACTGGAGCACGGTGCAAGCTTCCCCAGACCCTCTGTACCCACCATCTATGTCACAGCCTTTCTCTCTGCGGGCGCCAGCACCAAAGTAGGTGCAATCAGGTTATGACGTCATTTTGTACCTCAGGAAAACACGTGAGCTGTCTGCAGCTTAGTTTCCCTGTTTAGGAAATAAGACAGGCATTGCCAAAATCATGTTAATATGTGAAGAGACTAAAAATTGCTGCGTATTTACTTTTACCATTATGCCTTTTGTTAATGTTGTTATAATTGCAGCTGTTTCTGCAGGTGCTACTGTCATTCCTGTGGCATCTGTTGCCTCGTGGCTTACGACCACCCTTGTATTGTCACTCCCGTGGCATCTGTTGTTTCGAGGCTTATGACCACCCCTGTATTGTCACTCCCGTGGCATCTGTTGCCTCGTGGCTTACGACCACCCCTGTATTGTCACTCCCGTGGCACCTGTTGCCTCGTGGCTTATGACCACCCCTGTATTCTTTTTTTTTTTAATATTTATTTATTTATTATGTATACAATATTCTTTCTGTGTGTATGCCTGAAGGTCAGAAGAGGGCACCAGACCCCATTACAGATGGTTGTGAGCCACCATGTGGTTGCTGGGAATTGAACTCAGGACCTTTGGAAGAGCAGGCAATGCTCTTAACCGCTGAGCCATCTCTCCAGCCCCCACCACCCCTGTATTCTGTGTGGGATCACAGACCTTTCTTCAGTCACTGACCACTGTATTTTGATCTCCTTTTCTGTCTCCGCGTACTCCCGCCTACTTGTGGGCCAGTCCGATGCTTGTTTTTGTGTCTCTGTCCCTGCCGCTCTGCTACTCGAGTGTCTGGATGTCACACCCACTACCATTGAGAAAACTTGACCGGGCCAGTTGGTGTGGATCCAGTCTGGACTTCTGAGACCCCATGCTTGCTCTTCTGCTTTTCTGATAGATCAGCTGTCTGAGGCAGATGAGAATCACATGCAGCCTAACAGGACGATGGCTCGCTGCTTAGGGCGCTTGCTGCCGAGCTTAGCGACCCAAGTTCCATCTCCAGAACTGACGCTCACACAAATAAATACATGTAAAAATAATTTCTTAAAAGGATGGAAGGGTAAGGAAAACATGACGGGGGCAGGTGTGGCGGTGCCTAACTCCCATTCTGGAGTCAGAGGCAGGTAGGTCTCTGAGTTCAAGGTCAGCCTAGTCTACCGATCCACCCAGTGAGACCCTATCTCTCTCAAAAATAAAAACAACCGTTATCATTTTTACTGTCATTATATTTCCAGGATGTCTGTAGACACTGTTCGCATGCTGCCCAAGGGATCCTTTCTAACGACCCACGTCAGACTGCTAGAAGGAAGGTGGGCTCACAGCTTCCCTTAGCTCATACGCCTTCAGTGTACGCTGCCTTGCTCACGCCTGACATCTCATTTATAGATGGAAAGGCCAAGGCCAAGGTTTTGAGTGGTGTAGGCCTTACAGCTCAGGCTGCAGACTTGAATTTTACCAAAGGACAGGTGCTGACTTTTAACGCTTTTTTAAAATTCAGGAATGGGCGATAATTTCTTTTCTGTCTCTCCAGAAATGGTGACTTATAATATGAAAGGCATGTCTGTGGTTATTACATTATATCTCATTGTGTGTTCAAGCAACAGAGGGGCACCTGGGAACGACCCAAGGTGAATTAGAAGCACGGTGCCTTAAAGCATGTAACAGAGAGGCATACTTAAGTAACAGCTATGACACTCTCTCGGCTCCTTTAGTCCCCTGGCTAGTTTAACAGACCACAGCACTAATCACTTGGCAGCCTATGCTGCAGAATCCACATCCCTCCAAGGAAAGGCTTTTCCCGAAAGCAGTATCTGGAGGAGACAGCAAACGTGGCGGGAACCCCCGAGTTACAGGATCTGAGAGATTCGCTCTCCAGCCTGGGATTTATTGATCGGGAGCAGTCTCAACTTGCGGGGAAGATCCCATCCAAGAAAGCAAGTTTTCAAACCAGGGGTGCCCCTCTCATCTTACATCTGCTTTTCACAAAAATTCTTTCCCCTCCGTCTTCTTAGGTGTTTCTGAATTGAAGGTAACAGGTCGTTCAGAAGTGTAAATTCTGACTTAGTAGACAAATTCTGGTAAATACGGAGAGACTAAATTAGAAACAGCGAATTAATGATTGTCCAGGAGCACAGGTGAGCACCGTGGGAATCACAGATGGCACTGGGCCAGGCAATGAGTTGTCCTGGAGTGTCAGGCGGGAGACATTTTGATTAGCAGTGAACCATGAAACACAAGGAGCTTTACTTAACTCTGTGGCGAGTGAAAAATCTAAGGGCAGCCGTGAGGACGCTCTGTCGTTGAGCACTATCCGCTGTTCCTGAGACCTGTAGAGCTCTCTGCATAGGATGTGTTAAGCAGAAAGATGAGCGTGACCTGTGAATCCTACAAAGGCCTGATGGCTTGGGAAAGTCTTGGCCCTCTGGGGATGGAGGCTGTGAGATCGCTGCTTCAGACAAGAAACAGGAATGCACCTATGTATTGAAAAGCTGGGGGTTTACCTAGGGTGGGTCTATCCTGGTCTATCCAGGGGGTCTCCTCAGAATAACCCAGTTAGCCAGCCATTTCAGATAGGGTTTTGTTGTGTTGCCCAAGTTGGACTCAGGTTCCAGGATTTTAGCAATCCTCCTGCCTCAGTCTCTGGAGTGGTTGAGATTATAGATGCACACTACTATCTAATATTAAACTAAAAGTAATTTAATTAAATTTATAGTACGATTACTTAAGGGAATTTGCTGAATCTCATCATTAAGCAAGGGCTGTGAAAGGACATGATTCTTATTTTTAATTAAGAATGCCTCCTTCAACTCAGAAGCGAATGAATAATGGTTAAATTGAATGTGCCTGGGTTTTCAGATTTATCTGGAGGACGGATGACTAGAGAATAAGACTCACCCTGGGACAAAGTATTTGAGTATCGCTGACCTGGTTCTACGGAAACAGAGGGGCTGGATTCACAAACAATGTTCACAGTACCAGCTAAACAGTGTCTCAGTTGAGATGGTGTCTGTGTTGCCACCAAATGCCATGCTGATGGGCAGATGAAGCAACAGCACTTCCCCCTGAAGGAATTCGAAAACCAAGCTTGCTTTGTTTGGTTTGGACTCATGGTTTTCACTGTCTGGTGCACTGTGGGTTGGCCAGGTGATTGAACACAGCTGGGGACTCCAAAATCCTCTGGGGACAGTTTGGTCAGGTTGTTACTGAACTTCTAAAGACCTTGTCCACAGCAGGGTAGGAAGTGCAGGCATTTATTCAGTGGCTGGAGAGAAGGCCCAGTGGGGATCTAGGTTGGTCTGGGTGTTGTAGTGGCCTACACTTCAAATCCTGCTTATGCCTTTTCGTTCTGTATGTCAGCCCAGCACTGACAGCCTGGGGCTCTGGGTAAGAGCACTTGCTACTCCTGCAGGGCGGGATGGAACTTCCACCTGAACACAGACCTGGTTCCTGAAACCTACAAGGTGACTCATGATCGTCCGTAACTCCAGTTCAGGAGGTCCCATCCCCTCTTCTGGCCTCTGAAGGGAACGCTAACTTCAGCAGGTGTACGCATACATAAAATAAATCTTTACAAAAAGCAGCACACCCATCTCATGGACAGTTTAGGATTACTGGAGGACACACGGCAGGGGCTTTTGGGGAGGAAAGTGTGAAAACCAGGTTCTGGTGCAGCGGATTGAAGGTCCTCATGGTGGCTGCTTTCCTGGCTTCTTCGCTGCTCCTCCTGTGGGCAACACCGCCGTTGAAGGGCTTCTACCAACACGAAGTTGTGTTATGTGATATTTAGGGTTCCCATAGGATCCAGCTTTACCCTTTCTTCTGCTTTCCCTAGAGTCTCTTCTGGTCGTATCCCCAACATAATGACAGTACCTGGCAAAGTTTGTGAGGCTCAGCGTTGGAGTGACTAGGTAGGACATAGTCATGTGGCCTACAGAGTTAGTGGGGATCCATAGGCATCACATGGGGGCGTTCCCATGCCACAGATGATGTCACACAGGGATATTCCCATAAGCCAGAGATGATCCGTGACAGAGATGAGGTTGTCTTTGACCCTCACCATCCCGTTTTCTTCTGTGCAATGTCCTGACTGATGTTTTCCCAGGATACGCAGAGGCCAGTGGCTTCCATGTTAATTAGCAGGCCAACTTTTTATTTTATTTTTATTCTGCGTGTATGGGGGTCTTGCCTGTGTGCGTGTCTGTGCACCCTGTGTGTAGTGGCTGCAGAGGCCAGAAGAGGGTGTTGGACCCCCCTGGACTGGAGTTACAGAAGGTTGTGCGCCCACACGTGGTTCTGGAGATTGAACCCTGGTTCTCTGTTAGAGCATCCAGTGCTCTTAGGCTGAGCTGTTTCTCCAGCCCCTGAGGCTAGCTTGCAAAAATTCAGCGTGAGAGTGATGTGCAAGTATAGAACAGTTAAGAGGTAGGGCTCTGGTAGAAAGGAGGGGGAGACAGAGGCTGAAATCCACGCCCCCACCCCTCCCCCACACTCTGTGTAACCCCTGGTTTGAGCGCAGTCGCTCCAGGTTTTCTGTTTCCAGCTTTCCTTCTGAGTCTTTTGTTTTCTGGACTTTGGAAGCAGCTGTTATCATTCCAGATGAAGAGGGAACGGGAGGCAACTTCCTGTTATTCTATCCTGCCGCCTCTGTGGGGGCGGAGTTCCCTCCCCCTCCTGTGGCTGGCTGTGGGTTTTGGAAGAGCCGGGAGTCCCGAGGCAGCCATCCCAAGTCTAGGGATGGAGGAGTGTCCGGAAGCTTCTGGGCGGGCACCTGGGAGGGAGCAAGGGGACTGGGGTGGCCGAGGGAGGTGGAGCAGTAAATTTAGAAGACGCGGGAGGGAGTTAGGGGTTGAGTGGGTGACTAGCAGGTGGAGGAGGGGGAGGGGAGGGAGGGGAGGGAACCCACCGGGAGATGGCTGATGTTTCTGGCTAGAAATAATCTGGGAGTAGACGGTGTGTAGAGGGGAAGAAGTGACGTGATCCATCTCCAGCCCTGTATCGCTCTTCTGTTTGCTGAGCTCAGAGGGATTGAGCACCCAGGCTCAAGTCTAGATTATTTCTGCAGCTCCAGGGTGCCTAAAATTGTGTGGAATGTGGACAATCAGGCTATTTTTTAAAATGTGAGTGTCTTGCCCCCAGTTATGTGTGCCTGCATCATGTGTGAATCATGCGTGTAGTGATGGGGAATCTCTGTCAGCCAAAGATCTTTAAGGGGTGGGATCAGGTTAAGGCGTGACCTTTGGGTACCCGGGGCGGCCCAATCAAGGCTCGCTCTCTCTCTCCTCTCTCTCTCTCTCTCTCTCTCTCTCTCTCTCTCTCTCTCTCTCTCTCTCTCACCCGCGCTACACACCTGAGCTTGGACTTCTCCTCGTTCCTGTTTCGTGAGTTTGCCCCTTATAATAAAGAAAAACATAATTGGTCCATCTTTTAGCTAGCCTGGTTTTTTTCTTGACCCAAGATAATTCGACAGTGTACTACCCTTGGAGGACTGAAGAGGGCGTCAGATCCTCTGGATCAGTTACAGGAAACCGGGAACCTTGCTGAGACTGAGGCCCTATGTTAAAATCAATTTACTTCCTGTGGACAGGTAGGCTGGGAAGATTACACGGGACACAATGATGGGCATTGTGAGTTCATCCTGCATTTGGTGGAATGGTGACTGTAGGACATACCATCAATCAAAGAACAAACAATAGAGTCGCAAGTCACACACCTTAATTCCAGCATTTGTGGCGTGGAGGCTCCTGAGTTCCAGGTTAGTACTTGCTACATAGTGAGTTCAGGAGATCTTCAGCTACCTAAGACTCTGCCTCAAAAAACAAACAAAGAAAAAAACCAACAACAACAACAACAACAAAAAAAAAAAACAGAAAAACAAAAATCAAATTAATCAGACAACACACACAAACCCAACATCTTCCGTTCCCCAGAAAAACCCCAAAGCCCACAAAAAGCCAATAGAAATTAATTGTACGTCTAGATGATGATGGCTATACTTTGACACCTATGTACATATTCTTATACACAAAGCCACTTCTCATCATTCCGTTCTGTCTTGGGTCTGAGGGGGGGGCGCGGGGGCGGGGGAAGGGGGACTGAAAGATGGGCTCCTGAGAACCTTCCTGACTTGGCAGCCAAGAGGATTATATACCGCTGATATCCACCGGAGAGTAAATAGTAGTTAATTCTTAATTGTTAGCTCAGTCACTGCAATTGGTTCAACAGTAATTATTATCATGAGGTTTGAAGTCAGTTGTGAGGGTTTTCCCTTTCCAGTTGTGCACCCAGACAAAACCCTATGGTATTTAGAAAGTTTAGGGCAGGGGCTGGAGAGATAGCCAAAAAGTTAAGCCCTTCTGCTGCATTTTTATAGAAACACTGAGTTCAGTTCCCAGCTCCTACCTCACAGCTGCCACTAACTTCAGTGCCAAAAAACTGGCAGTGAAACCCAGGGCTTCTGGCCTCCATGCGCGTACACATACTTACACTTAATTAAAAATAATAATAGCCAGGAGTGATGGCGCACGTCTTTAATCCCAGCACTCAGGTGGCCGAGACAGACAGATCTCTGTTCCTGGTGCAGAGTGAGTTTCTGGACAGCCAGGAAAACACAGAGAATCCCTTCTGGAAAAAATAAACAACAAAAATAATGATCTTTAAAAAAAAAAAAACAGGTTAGTACAGGGTTTGGTAGTGTGGGCCTGCAATCCCGGCCACTAGAAGACCAACGCGGGAGGATAACAATTTTAAGACAGCCTTGCGGATATACTGAGATCCTGTCTCAAAACAAAAACAAAATGTAAACAGTAAAATTTCCGCTCCCCCTGGAGAGTCCATTTTATTTGTCTGAAAGCTTGCGTGGTACGTGAGGTTTTACTTATTTTTGTGGCTACGTGCAAAAGCAACCACGTGGTTGAGCGCCACCAGTTGACCACGCAGAGCTAGGGTGGCCGCGTCTGGGATCCCCCAGTCCTCCCAGTCTCTGCAAGTCCTCAGTTTCCCCCGGGGGCCCTCGCTGCGGGTTAGGAGGCCTTCGGGGCCTTTGCTTTCCCCCTTCCCGCCGGCCGCGTCCGCCCCGTCCGGGACACGGAGGCGGCTCTGCCTTAAAAAGGGAGGCCCTCGGGGTGAGCGGCGCTTCCGATCCGGGAGGAGCCGCGACCCGACCCGACCCCACGGCTCTCCTCCGCCCTCCTCTCTCCCCGCCCCGGCGGACCGCAGCCCGCACGGCCGCGCTTCCCACCGACGCCCACTTCCAGCTCCGCCGGGCTCCGCCAGGAATGCGGGAGAACCCGGCGGCGCCTCGGAGTGACCGCGCGCCGAGCCAATCAGCGGGCCGCGAGCGCGAGGCCACGCCCCTCCGCCCCTGGGGCTGGTTCCCGCCGGGGGCGGGGCGGGGCGGAGCGCGGCGGGGCGAGCCGGGGAGGACCGAGGGGAGGCGGCACCTGGGCGGCGGTGATGTCAACCCGGCGCTGTGCTCCGTCCCGGGCTCCTGTCGCCGCCTAGGGCGCGGGGCGACCGCCGCGGGAGCAGCGATCTGGCAGCCGGGCCGGCGCCGGGAGGCGGGACTGCAACTTGTGGAGCTCGGTGGCCCTCCGCCGCAGGTAAGCCAGCGGGCGGTCCCTCCTGCGACCCGGGGATCCCCGCCTCGGGGAGTGGGGGGCAGCCTCGGGGTGACAGGAAGGGACTCGTCTGGGGCTTCGGGGCGCCCCGCCTCCCCACAGTCCAGAACTCCGGTCAGGGCGGTGTGCTCCAAGCTCACACTCCGGGACTCCCCACCACAGACTCCAGTCGGGAAAATGTGCTCACACCCGGGCTCCCCCTGCACACCACAGTCTCCGGTCAGGGCAATGTGCTCCAAGCTCACACCCAGACTCTGATCCACAGACTCCAGTCAGGGCTGTGTGCTCCCAGCTCACACCCAGACTCTCATCCACAGACTCCATTCGGGAAAATGTGCTCACACCCGGGCTCTCCCTGCACACCAGACTCCAGTCAGGGTAAGGTGCTCCCAGCGCACACCCAGATTCTCATCCACAGACTCCAGTCAGGGTAGGGTGCCCCCAGCTCACACCCGGGACTCCCCTTCACACTCCGCAGACTTCAGTCAGGAAAAGGGTGATCCGAGCTCCTACCCAGGGACTCCCACCACAGACTCCACTCACGGAAGTGGGCTCCCAGCTCACACCCGGTCTACCCTCCCCACCACAGACTCCAGTCAGGGCAGCGTGCTGGGACCCAAACACCTCAGAACTCTAGTCAGAGATGTGTGCACAGCCTTACACCCTGGCCCTACCACGCCACAGACTCAGCCAAGGAAGTGTGTGCCCAGCTCACACCCCAGACTCCCCTCCCCACCACAGACTCTGACACCACAGAACTCTAGCCAGGAAAGTGTGGAACCCCACACCCCAGAATCTCCACCACACCGGACTCCTGTCAGGGAACTGGAGTGGGACCCCGATTCTCTGTATAATACCACAGAGCTCCAGTCTTGGAAGGTGTGCTCAGACCCTGGAGCTCAGTTTCCCTGTAATATTCCAGAGCAGGGCATCCATCAGGGGTGGATGCTCGAACCCGGCTCCCACACTTAAAGACCCAGCAGGGAAGGGCATGTGTGGGTGGGATAGGAGGGAAGACTGTTTCAAAACGCCACACATATTTTTGTGAATCATCCCCAGAAAATAAAGAGAAAACAGCTCCATCTTCTCCGCTCCCTTACACGGCACTCTGTTTAAGGGAAAGAGTATCAGCGTGATTCTTATATCTGTGTAAGGTATTCTTTTACACAGCCCAGCCAGGGGCTGAGAAATTCGCTTGAGGCAGATTCACCTTTGTGGGAAAACTGGTTTCTTGAGGGCACAGTTCTAAGTCTATTGCTGTTTAAACGCCACTAAGGTCTTGCCTGGGGCTTTTTGAGGAAGGTTGGATGAAGGCTGTGAGGTGTGTTTTCAGGGTTCATTTTTAGAGAAAGGAGCTTAAATTTTATTCCTTTTAAAACGGGAGTTCACTATGGCTCTGGCTGGCCTGAAACTGTGTAGACCAGGCTGGCATCGGACTCACAGAAATCTGCCTGTCTCTGCTTCCCTAGTGCTGAGGTTAAGAGTCTGTGCCAGCACCCCGGTCGGGAAAGAAGGCTTGGTGTACAAACTCTTTGTAATGAGACTGTGACCTTTTCCGACATGGGGGACAGGCACAAGCCCTTGCTTTGGTAAGACCTGAGAACAGTGCGAAGGGAACTCAAAAAGTCTGTTAACTGGAGAAAGCAGTTGTCTTAGTAGGATTCCGATTTTTATTTCTTGTTTCAAACTCTTTTCTCTTGCTTGGAGATTTTCTTTCTGGGGGAAGATTATCTCTGGACGCACCGACCCTAACCTGGCTCTATCAGTGTTTCAAGGCTCTTTCCTTTGGAGCGAGACTTCTGGTGAAGCCAGCTTCCCCTTGCAGGGCAGCGGTTCCTCAGCTGTGAGGATTCTCTGGTTGCCAGGGCTGGAGGAAGTAGGACTTCATTGTTAGTCAAAAGCTTCACCCCAGACTCTGACCTGAAGGGTATTTCCAGGAGCTGGGGAAAGAAAGTCCTTATATTATGTCTAGTAAACCCAAGTCAGGAAGTGTGGGGATGGAGGACTTGAAAGATGAATTTAAAAGACGTCTCCATCGTCAAACCTGGAGGGGACATTTGTGTTTTGCTTTGTTTTCAAAACACCTTCGTCCAGTTCCTGAAATAATGAAACACTGGGTAGGCGGCCAGGCTCTCCCCACTCCTCTCTGTCTTCTTTGAGACAGGCTCTCACCACGTAGCCCAGGCTGGCCCTGAACGTTTGGTCTTCTTGCCTACTCTGTCATCACGTGTGTGTGCCGTCATCCACACAGACTTTTTGGAAAGGGAACACGCGCTTTACAGGAACAGAACACTTTAATTTTGGTTTGTGTTTTTGGACTAAGCCTAGAAAATAGCTAATGGTGCAGCAATAATATTGAACAAAATTTTGGTCTTTATGTTTGGTGCAAGCACATACAACATGCTGTATTTTCTCGTGCACTTTTCTTTTACCAGGAAAGAGATGTGGAGTTTCCTGTGGGCACTTAGGTGAGCACTGTGTAGCGGCTAATAACACTATCTAGACGCAGCTTGCAGCTAAAAGGTGGAACCCCCAAACCATGCAAATCAAGCGAAAACTATCTTTAGGATGTGTGTGTGTGTGTGTAATACATGTTTCTTGACGAGTTTTAAAACAGCTTTTTTTTTGAGTAATAACAGTTTAACTGACATCCTTAATTTGAACTACTATTTCTCTTTTTTAGTCCATGTTTATGAGGGCAGATGAGGTATATAGTAAGGCGTGGTATTTTAATTTTTTATTTCATGTATTTGTGCTTATTGCCTCTGTGTGTGTGTGTGTGTGTGTGTGTGTACATCCCATGCTGCACAGTACCCAAGGAGCCTGGAAGAGGGCGTCAGAATCCCTAGAACTGGAATTACGGAGGGTCGCAAAGCCCCATGTGGGTGCTGGGGACAGAACCCTGGTTCTGTGCAGGAGTCGTTCACTGCTGAGCCTTCGCTCCAGCCCCAGCATGGCATTGTTAAAGAGTCTTGGGCCAGAGATAGCTCAGTGGATAAAGGCACTCGCTGCCATATCTGGTCCCTGGAACCCAGAATGGTTGGAAAGGACTGAGTGCCCCAGGCTGTCTTCTAGCCTCAGCTCCTTGGAATATATACACAAAGCCTGGCGATGGTGGCGCACGCCTTTAATCCCAGCACTTGGGAGGCAGAGGCAGGAGGATCTCTGTGAGTTCGAGACCAGCCTGGTCTACAAGAGCTAGTTCCAGGACAGGCTCCAAAGCCACAGAGAAACCCTGTCTCAAAAAAAAAAAAAAAAAAAAAAGAATATATACACAATAATTATATGTAAAAGAAAATTAAAGTTGTTAAAAGATATATAGGTTAATTAAGAAAGGTGAGATAGGTTTTGGCTCAATTCCGTTTGATAAACAACCATTACTGTTCTAACAGCCACATTGAAATGAGAGGCGGTTGGCATTGCTGGGCGAGAGACTGGAAATCTAGGCCACGCTATAATTCCAGCTGCATAACGCCCAACCTGACAGCTATTGTGAACTCTTCTTGAGAACAAGTCCATTGAGGGAGCACCAGTTAACTGTTCATGTAGACTTTGTCACTCATTGTCCCAGCACGAGATAAATCAGAACAAGGTCGTTTTCTCCTGGTGCTGACCAGCCCGCATCTTTAAAAATCTCTTTTTTGATAATTTCTCTATTTTTATTTCATACGCAGTGGTGTTTCGCCTGCATGCATATCTTTGTGAGGTGTCAGATCACTTGGAAACGTATTACAGACGGTTGTTAGCTACCCTGCATGTGCTGGGAATTGAACCTCAGTCCTCTGGAAGAGCAGCTAGTGCTCCTGACCACTGAACTATCTCTTCGGTCCCTGAAACCTTTTTATATCCATGGACTATTTATGTTTTATAGTTAATTATTCCGATAATTTGTTATATTAAAATTGAGTTTTTGAGGTTTTCATCTCCAGTTTTTAAGGTGTCTGTATTCTAAACAACTCAATTTCCACACTTAACTGAAGGAAAACCTTATTCAACGTTCTGTCTTTTCAGAGATGTTTCAGGTCTCTGTCCTGGTTTGAATTACCTTTAAAATTAGTGAATGTAAATGAGTTGGTTAATGACTGCATATCCATTCATTCTTGGGTCTGTGTCTTGATTTCTTTTTCTTTTGTGTATGTGTGCCTGCGTGTGTGCGTGTATGTGTGGAAGCCCAGGGGTAGATGCTAGGTGTCTTCTTCAGACTCCCATCCCTTCCCCAGATAAAGTCAATTTATTTCTGTTTAACGTGAACAGATGTTTTTCCCACACGTATGTCTGTGCGCCACATGCACACCTAGTGCCCTTGAAGGCCCAAAGAAGACATTGGAGCACCTAGAACCGGAGTTCCAGAAGTTTGTGAGCTCTCATTTGGCTGCAGGAGATCAAGCTGAGCTGTCACGCCCCACAGTTCTAATATTGAGTTTAAACAAGAGATGCGAAGCTACTAAGTTAGAGCTCCATTCTGGTGATGGGTGGTGTTTAGTGAACAAAGTGTCTCCTGGGCAGCGTTTTGCTGCAACCAAAAGTTCATAAAATTACGGTTAAATCAATTATCAAACTGTCCAAAAACTTGTGTGGGCTTCTACATTTCCCTCATGTGTTCTATTACTTACTGCTCAGATTTATTGCAGTGCAT